TGAGTCTCTAACTTTTCGTTTTCTTTCTTTTAATCTGATTTCTTTTTGCAGAGATTTTTTTTTCATATACTTTACGAACTTAAAGCTATTGGCGTACCTTTATAATGATTACACACAGGAACAGGCTAACAATAGAGATTAAATTATAATTGTAATTAGTCAATTATAATAACTATTGTATAAATAGGGCTTGGTGCTTATGAAGCAGTGATTTCATATTCAACAGCTATGAATATGGCAGTGCCACCCTTTTTAAATTGGCAACAAAGCAAATTGACATTATAAAATATGGAATTATGTCATGTTTTACGGCTAAACCGTATGACAATTTACCTGGTTGTTCAAGTCGTTCGCATCTTTCACGATATTAAAAACATTTTTGCTAAAAGTTTTGGTTCTGATGACTATGAGCAAAATGGCAAGATATTAAAATTTTCTTAAATTGGTCCACAAAGTATTATGAGCACCTACTATTAACAAGTAATATATGTATTATTTAAATTTTTACGTTTGATTATTAAATTACAATTGGGTTTTAGAAAATTGAGCAGCTGCAGTCAGAGTGATCACTACACCAATTTTTTTGCCATCATCTACACATATTGGAACTAAAAATAAGCTTCCAATACCCTTTCCGCCTGAATCTGATCTTTCAATTATTAATAAGGTAGATGATAAAGTGGAAGCAGACGATGAAACATCGAGATCAAGAAGAAGGTTTGCAAGAAGTTTAATAGATAAAATATTTCTATTCCCAGAAAAGTTTTAGATGAGAAATTTGTGGATCATTTGGTAAAGCGAATGGAGATTATGGGAAAATAACGTTACTAAATTTGGAGACTATAAGATATTTCGAACTTGTATTATTTATTATATTGAAACTAAAAGTTCTATATTCATGATAGCAACAGTTTGCCTAATATTATAAAATTTTCTCCTCAAGAACTGTCCATCCCGAGTTCCAGATAAAATTAATTTAAAATCTATCTATATGAAAAGTTATTTTCAAACAATCCGGTCAGAAATAAAAATATGTTATTTGTAAATTATTTGATGAAACTTGGTCAACCTTATAATAATATATTTCTCAATTCATTCCCTCATTGAACAACACGGCCCCGAATTTCAATTCCATCTCAACATTTTCCAATATAATTATAAACGTTGAATTTTCAGTGGCTACCATATCATTGGACTATGCTGAATGATTGATGATGTTTTGATGGAATGTGAATTAAGTTTTGCTGGACCCTTTTTTTTTCATTGATCAAACAATTTTGTCTATTGATTTGTCACAAGCTTCAAGAAATCCATGAATTTTATTTTGGTCAATTAACAATCCAATTATTTAAAGAAAAAATTTATTATAATCAATTAATTGATAATTTGTGTTAAATTAAATAATTCTTACGTTAAAAGAGCTCAAATATTGTTGTAGAAATATTTTCTTTTTCAAACAAAATAACTCCATTTTCACCCAATTAT